GGAAAGACTGTTGATTTTTGTTAATTTTTCATAGAGGTCTAGTGATTTAAGTTTAAAATTACTTAAAATATAAAAAAGTATAATATAAATGCATTTTATTTTTACAATAATGCCAAACCTTTAAAATGACTAGATTAACTTAAATAAATATCCATTGTTAGTATAAAATTGACGCCTTAGAAAAGCATGCGCCTCTGAAGCGTATGGTTATCTTTTACGTACGTTGTCATATCTTTCTAGGGTTAAATAACATACTTGAAATTTGTACAATTTTTGAGGTTGTCGCCGTGGCATCCGAGGCGTTGAGAATAAAAACGTTCAGGTCGATGAAAAGTCGCCGGTTCTTCATTCTACGATCAACATTTCATAATTTTCCATTTATCGAAATAATAAATTTGCCTATCTCTGGTGAAAATACGATCGTGAAGCTGAACAATAACCTGTATCGTTTGTGGTTCTCCACCGAACCGGACGTGTTTCGCGTCTACAGTAATCGATGGCAGATATTTCTTCTTGATAAAAATAGATATGACTGTATATATGTATCATCGATGCCCTGTATTCTGAGAATCGTTCTTATTTTATTTGTACGGAGATTTTCACGTCGAGCGCACGATAAAAGCGTCGGAAACCGCAGCTGTACAGTAAATTCGACCTAATTGACGCTCGGATTGTGTACGAAAATGGACAATTTGGGAAGAGCAGATACGATTATTCGAGCCTCGCGTCTCGTTTTTGTAGTTTCCGATTGTCAACAATTATAAAAACGAGGTGCAAGACTCAAATTAATCTTATCTTAAGATTAAATTAATCTTAATCAAATTAATCTTCCGAAATTGTCCATTCTTGCGCGCAATCCGAGCGCCAATATGGGAGAATTTACGAGAATTTCGAGCGCCAGGATGACGTTCCTCGATCTTCCGTTTCCTGCTCATGTCCACGCGAATGGAAGACAGTTCGCATCGCCATTAATTAAGGAACGAGACACGCGGAATTTACCTCGCCGCGTTACCACGATTAACTCCGCAATGGCGCAGCACTCTATCTCGCCCCAATTTTTGAACTTTGCGCACGAGTTTCCCTCGCTGCGGCAGAAAATCGTTTCGACGAATCTTCATTAGGCTTTCTGGAAGTAACCCTGGCGAATTAAACTTTTGTCTGTACGACGATCGCATTTTTTCGAATTTTACAGTGTTAAATCGCCGACACGTTAAGATCCTAATGTGAACCGAAAAAATTCCCACGGTATCAGTCATTCGATCACTGAAACCGAAACTCGAGAGCTCAATGTTATTTTAGTAACTATATTAGTTAACTCTCTCCTCTCTTTGCATTTTAAAGATCTTGGTAATATTCAGTTTGCTCGAATATATAATATTACAATAGAAATGAATTTCAAAGCCTAGTTAACTTTTAGATTACTGTGTCGTTCATTGATAGGTCAATTATCCAGGGTTAAATTAGAAACGAGAATATGTTTCGATACATTTTTGGAAGATTTGTTTTTGCAAGTTTCATGCGTGAGATTCGATAGTTTGGAGAGAGCAGTGCGCCATTGTAGGATAACAAAATTGATTGTACATCGTTTTGCAGTTGTTAATATATTGGGATACATTTAACTCATAGTTCCCCAACGTTGCGAAAATTGGGAAGGAGCATGAATTTTTCCCCGATTCCGATCGAGTTTCTATAAGACGCGAAAGTTTCGCTTCGAAATTTCGATAAAAGCGATCGTTAAAGTTGGGAAAC